CCTGCCTCACCACAAAATCTATAAACACGTTGAACAACAACGGAGCAATGACACAGCCTTGCCTAACACCACACGATACATCAAACGCCTCGCCCTTGAGAGGGCCCAGACGCACCGCCGCCTGAGTGCCTGTGTGCAGGTCCATCAGCAACTCCACCAGGAGAGAGGGAACGCCATAGGCCCGCAGCACTCGCCACAGCGCGTCACGCGGCACAGAGTCAAACGCCTTTCGCAGGTCAATGAACGCCAAGAACAAGGGTTGCCCCTTGTGCTTCCAGCTCCGCGCCATAAGTTGGCGCAGCGTGAAAGTGGCATCAGTGAGACCGCGGCCGGGCCGAAACCCGCATTGCGCTTCCAACAGCCGTGCATCAAGGTGCTGTGAGACCCGCCGCAACAGCAGAGCCGCATAGGCCTTGCCAGGAATGGAGAGCAGGCTAATCCCCCGCAGGTTATCGCATGCGCGCTTATCTCCTTTGCCCTTGTACAGGGCGGCCAGAAGCGCACGCTTCCAATCCACAGGGGCCTTGCGCACCCGCCAGACTAGGCAGATCAAGCGGTGAAGGTAGCTCACTAGGGCTGGCGAGGCCTTGAGCATCGGCGCAGTGATGCCATCTGCCCCAGGGGCCGCCGCATTGCGCAGGCTGCCCACTATGCTCTCAACCTCTGCCAGCGTCGGCTCAGCAACCATCTGCTCTGCTGATAGCGTGGGCCTAGGTTTTAGGTGCTGCAATACTAATACAGTAAGTGCAAAAACCTGCACGATGTAACACTTCACAGCGACTGGTTGGTTTCAGGTTTCTCAGGCGGCAGAGCCGCCACCACAGAGCAAACGCGAAGTGCAAAACAAGGGTACGAAATCAGTGAGGGAAATGACAACGGACAAAATTGTGCTGTACATCACTTCGGGGAGCTCTGCGACCCTGCTTGCTGCTGCTGCTCCTGCTGCTGCAACAGCTGCAGCTGCTCCGCCTCCTCGAGGGTCATGCGGCGCCGCCGCCCTTCCTGCTGCAGCGCCGCCTCATCCTCCGCCAAAGCGGGGTCCACCTGCGGGGCGAGCGGGGTGCGGTGTGGGTTGCAAGGGCAGATATGCATTGGCTACAAGGTGTATTGTATCGCATGTGCATGTGGGGTGGCTCATTTGGGCTGGGACACGAGGTCATGCTCAACAAAAAGGATCTGGAGCCATCGGGCGTCCGCCGGTGTGTATCGGTACATGTAGCGAAGGGATGGCGGCCTTGCATTCCGCAGGCGCCAAACTCACATCATCCAGCGCCCGGCTCGCGACCACCGCGCCAACAATAGTCGTAGCCATTGTTCCCACCACTGCAAGGGGACAGCGGCGCGGAGTTGCAAGCGCTCTTGACGTGTCGACGCACAGACAACGCCCCTGGCGCGCGCAGTGGCAGCATCGGCTCGGACAGCGTCAATTGCTCACCTAGCGCCACCGAAGATGCAGCGGTGACCCAAATTGTCGACGATTCCGCCACTGCCGGGTCCGGCATCGCTGCGGCGGAGATGGGTGTCACCTGCTGAATAGGCGGAGCGCGATCTCGTCACCAAACGAATACAGGTCCACTTAGTGATATTCAGAAATCAATATGTCTCTCACCAACGATAAGCTGCAGCTCTTACGCGCAGGAAAGTCACCTGCCCGCTCGCACTACCCGCCCAGCCTTTTTTCCTCCCAACTCGGCCGGATCCGACCCATAGCGGCGATCTTCTGCCGTTGCACAGCCCCCGTGCGATCTTGGGGTGGCACACCGACCCCAACAACATCTCTGGTCGCGTCATGGAGCCAGCGCGCTCAATGAAGCGGTCTGTCCCTGCCAGAGGGATTTTGGCCTTGTTCATGTCACCGGCGTTCATGGCGGTGGCTCGAGCGCACGTCCTCGCGCTGTGGGCGTCCAGTCAAGCGCTTGAAGCGTTGCTGCTCCCAAAGCGGATTGCAGTCACCTGCCTGTATGTGTTGAACGCCGGCTCGGGCGACCTGCTAGCCTACCTCTCGTCGCAACCGACAAACAAGATGCAGGTGTGACCGCCGCACGCGCTGACCTCAGCGCCCGCTTTTTTGTTGATTGGACACCCTCGGCCTGCTCGCGTCGCCCGGAACCGTGACAGGCCGGCAGCCGTCCGACGCCCGTCCCACCCCACACAGATTCAGCGGCAGCAACAGGCGCTGGCGGCGGCGCAGCAGCAGATTACCTCTCAACAGCGGCTGGTGGAGGTGAGGTCGTGCCGGGGCCGACCCTGATTCATGGGAGAGCTCTGCATGTCCACCCGTTGCAGACCAGCCAGCGGCGCGCCAACAGCACAGCGTATCTTGGGGCTCAGAGATGGTTCGTCACGCCGTCAGGGGTGGCCTCGCCTTGGAAGCTGTGCTCATATGTTCACATGCGCCATCATGCGGCCGCGGCAACCGCCAGGACCTGCAGCGGGAGGTCGACATGCTGCGCTCGGACAGGCGGAAGCTGCACAGGCGCAACGTCGAGGTGCGGGGGCGCGGCGTGCTGGAGGTGCTGCAGTGCGCAGTGGGGCCAATCTTGGGTTGAGGGTTTTAGTCTGGTGCCTTGCTGGCGGGCCTGTTCAGGCACTGACCACCCCTGCTCGGGCACCGCAACCCTGGGAATTGCGTCGCCGCTCGTGTGTACCCGTACGCCAAGTAGCTTCCAACACACTCACACACACACACACACACACACACACACACACACACACATGCAGCTGGCAGCCAGGCTGGAGCAGGCGGAGGTCGAAAGCCGCGCCGCGGCGGCCGGCGCGCACAGCGGCGTCGACGACACAGACCCGAAGCTCAACGGCCTCGGCCACGGCGGCGCGCTCTCCGGCCCCGGCTGGCGGCCCGCGGAGGGCGGCGCGCACAGCCTCGCAGACGCGCCGCCGTGGGCGCTGCACTGCGCGGTGGCGGTCGCGGCGGTGGCGGTGCGGTGGTGGCTGCTGCACGAGGCCGACCCCCTCCAGAGGAAGGTCCTCCTCGTCATCCTCTGGCCGGTGGGTCCGGCAGTCACCACCTCATGCTCTCCGCCGGCCGCCTCGCGCGACGATCCTGAGGGCTCGGCATGCACGCCAAAGGGGTCGCCGGGCGCGCTGCGCGGCGCGGCGTCGCGCGGTGTGCCCGGACTGAGCTGCCCTCGGCTCGTGTCTTCACTGCTTGCTCCCTGCGCACGCACTGACCCCTGATTTGTCCGCTCTGGCCCTCTCCTGCTGCCCAGGCGTCCTGGGTCTATGGCTCAATGCTGCTGGGCTGCCTGCCGCCCAACAGCCCCCGCCTCAAGCGGTTCTTCTTCTGCCTGTCGTACGTCATTATAGGCTATGTCGCCCGCTGCGCCGCGGAGCGCCTCGGCGGCAGCGGCGGCTCGCAGCACGCGGGGGGCCCGCGGTGGGCGCCGGCGGGGGACTGGGCGGCGGCGGCGCTGCACCTCCACCACAACGGCCACGGCGCGCACGCGCAGTGATCGGCGCGGACCCTGCTTTGTGCGGAAGTTGCTCTGTTGTTCTGCCTGGGTGCGGCCGCTGTCATATGGCGGCCTGGCCTGGTTTGATATGGTTGTCGCATCATCAGACCTGCTGCCTTGTAGCTGCCCTGTAGCTGCCTTGGAAATACTGCAAGCTTAGCCTCCATCCGCGCGCAACTAATGTGCTCCGGTGGAGTGCCGCGCCACCGCGCCGCCGCCTCGTGTGCTGAGTTGATGACCTGGGATCAGGGAGTGGCGAGAAGCCTCGATCTCGAAAACTGTACACATGTGTTCCCTGGGAATCCCCACCCCCCACTGACCGGCGATCGGCGCGGCCGCCCCGCAGCTGGCGCCGACTTTGCTGCGCTAAGACTGGCCCTGGGCTGGAGCGCCGCAAGCCCGCGGCCGTTGCGGCCCCACCCACCCCTGCGAGCTGCCCTCCTTGGACCTTTCATACAGCCCCTCTCCCCCTCCGTGCCTAGCTGTTTTTGTCCCTTGGTCTTCCTTCCCTACCTGCAAAGGCCAGCACGTGCGCCTATCGCCCGCACCGCGCACTGCCAAAAGCACTGCCCCCTCCCCCTCAAAGCTGCCGTTGCCTGGGATCCCCGCGGCTCCCTCCCGATCTGGTAGCTTTGCATTCATACCGATATGTCCCCCCAACAGGGGGTTTGATTCCGTCAAGGACTGATGTATTTAAACGAGACCTTGCAGTATCACTCTCAGTGCTTCCATGTTGTAATGCACCCCTGGCCAATATAAGGAAAAAAGCTAGAAGAAGAAACCTGGAAAACGTAAAGACTGAACAGCGCCAACTGACAGAAACCCATCGACGGGTCAGCAGCCGCGCCGCGCCCCACAAAAAAGACAGCGCAAGGGCATGCGCCTGCAGCCACAGCCGCGTGAAGCCACCCTCCAGCAGCCGCGCTCACACCTCCGCGAACGCCGCCGTGTCCTGCGGCCACTTGGGGTACGCGCGCTTGTAGAGGCTCAGGCACACGGCGTCCTGCTGCGTCACGGGCCCGTCGAAGCGCGCCTTGAACGCGCCGTGCGTGCCGAGCGGCTCGGTGATGCGGCCGCGGCGGCCGGACTTGGTCCACAGCTCCACGGGCTTGAACCAGCGGATGTCGTCGGGGTTGTGGAACATGAACCGCACCACGGCCTTAGATTTGTGGACCCTGGGGGGGGGAAACGGGGACAGGTCAGTGGTTTTTCCAAGTGGTTTCTTCAAGTACCCACTTCGGTCACAAGTGGGTGCTGTCCTTGTGCAAAATAGAACGGAATACGGGCCGCGGGGCGGGGTGTGAGCGGTCACCAGCCCAGAACCCGGCCTGTGTGCATGGCCACGTACGCACGTGCACACACACACACATGCACACACATGCACGCACACACGCACGCACACAAACATGATGCACTTCAATACATGATGCACACCTCCATGATGCACGCATCCATGATGCACACACATGCCCACGTCCACACACGCACACACGCACAAACTTCGCACACACGCACACACACACACCTCGCAGGGTACCCAGTCAGCACGATCTTCTTAAGCACCACGCGGTCAGGGTCAACGCTGCGCAGCGCGCCGGCCGCCGCCAGCATGGGCGTGCGGCCGGGCGTGCACTTGAAGGCCAGCAGCGGCAGGGGGCCGTAGCTGATGGGGGCGTACACGGTGGCGACCATCTGGCGGCCTGTGGGGTTGGGTCAGGGGTGGGCGCGCACACGCGTGAGGGTCACGGCTCCTAGCGGGGTGCAGGGTGCTCTGAGGGGGTTGGTGAGGGCGTGCCGTCCAGGGGCCGCTCCTGTGGCCCGCGGGGCGAGGCCGGGCGGTTGCCGCAACGAGCGGCGGCGCGCATGCAGCGTCATCACCCCTCCCTGCAAAGGCTTGAGTCCCCCTGGGGCCTGCTCGTGCACTGGTCAAAGCAAGCAGGCCGCAGCAAGGTTCACCAAACCCACCACGGTGAGGCAGCTGGCGCCCAAACACTAGGGTAAACACGCCGGCGAATCAACAACAACTCAGCAAAGCGGCAACGCACCTGTATGCAGGAAGCGCTCCATCTTGTGCTTGTCGGCCCTGTGGTCGTCACCCGACAGCACCGGCCGCGCGACAAACCCCCTAAGGCCGGTGACAAACAGCAGCTCCTCCTTGTTCCCGACCGCGTCCGCGAAACCCGCGGCTTTTCTCAGCGAGAAGTTCACAACCGATAGCTTGGACTCGTGCTGCATCAGGCCGAAGGCGGTCAGCGGGGCAGCCGCGCCGGAGGCGAAGGCGGAGACGCGCTCGAGCACGGCCGACGCGGCGGCGGCGGGGACGGCGGCGAGGACGAGCGTCACGTAGCTGCCTGGCGGGACGGCGCAGGGGTCGGTGCCGGCGGTGGCGCGCGCCTGCGCGCGGCGGAGGTGGGGGAGGGGGAGGGCGGCGCGGGAACGCGTTTGG